AGTATCAATTACCTTATATATGCTGATGATTCCCAAATTTATATTTTCAACCCAGAGTGAAAAATCTTGAGCTCCAGGTAAGCTTAGGAATGTTTCATGAGTTCTTCAAAGTCACTATGTACCACCAATCTCCTCCAGTGTTTCTTTTGTTAATGAATAGCACTACCAGTTAGTTGCTCATGCAGAAAACAGGGAGTCAATTTAATACCATTTTCAACATTCAATCACTCGGCAAGCCCTACTGATCTTATTTCCTAAATAGTTCTCAAAAACATCCATCTTTCTATTCATCTGCCACCACTCTAATTTAAGTCAACATCTCACCTGCTCTCCTATATCAGTCTTTTAATGATTCTCCCTGGATCTGCTCAAGCTTTCCTTTCTCACTTCAATTATTTTCCCAAAGATGTCAGAATGACCTTTTTGTTTGTTTGTTTTTAGAGACAATGCCTTCCTCTGTTGACCAGGATGGAGTGCAGTGGCACAATCATTGCACACTGTAACCTCAAACTCCTGAGCCCAAGCGATCCTCCTGCCTCAGGCTCCCAAGTAGCTGATTCTATATGCACATGCCCCCATAACTAATTTTAAATTTTTTAGAGAGACAGGGTCTTGCTATGCTGTTCAGGCTGGTCTCAAATTCCTGGGCTCAAGTGATTTTCCCACCTTGGCCTCCCAAAGTGCTGGGATTACAGGTGTGAGCCACTGTGCCCAGCCCAGAATAATCTTTTTGAAATACAAATCTGATCATATACTCTACTGCTTTAAAATATACATTGGCTTCCTAATGCTCTTGAGAGAGAATTCAATGTAAAATATGGTTAAGGGCACACGTACTGAAGACTTAGGTTCAAATCCTAGCTTACTGTGATCTGCGAGTATCCTCACAAAGCTCCCATTTCCTCACTAGGAAAACAGAGATGCCAGCTCTTTAAAAAGCTGTTGTGAGGATTAGATAATTCAATATAAAGAGTGCAAGTTGTTATTAGCTCTGAGCCTTCCTACTGATGGTATTATTCCCTGCATGAGAACAGTGCTACTTCTCACAATCCTACTTCATGGCATCAGGTCCCTGAATTTTCCTAGATATCATTCTAAAATTCTTCTAAACCTGAAGTCAGATAAAGAAGTCACTTAGCTGCTGAAATATTCATAGCTCAGTTGGGAGAGCAATAGATTGAAGTCACCAGATTTTCCTAAACTGATGTCTTGTTTTTTTTTAATGAAGTTTGAAAGAAGCCACTAAGAGACAGACCACACTTATTTCTAAATATAGCATTAAGCTCTTAGTATGTAGTTCTTAGTACGTAGACATATAACAACAAATAGTAACTTTGTGAAAAATCAACTAAAGAGGCAAGTACCTGCATAGCTATAGGTCCCTGGGACATTTGAGAGCTGTAATTCATTCCCATCATGCCTTGCATATTAGGTTGCATGACAGAGACCATGGGAAATCCTTGTTGCTGCATTGGCATCAGGCCTGCTGAAAAACATAAAGGCATTATTAAAGCCAACCTGTTTTAAAGTTTATTTTCTTAAAACCATAAGTACCTAAATGACTTGTTACTTGGAAGGCGGTACAATGTAGTAGAAAAAGCAAAGGCTCCTGATAGACCTGAGTATGAATTCCAACACCATTGTTTACTTAACTGTGTGATCTTAAGTTATAACATTTCATCTGAAAAATGAAGATAATGTCTCTTCTATAGAATTCTTATACATATTAAAAAAGTCAACAGTATGGCCTAATTGTGGTACTTGACCTTCAAGGGGGCCCCCAATGTTCTCTGCCTCCTGGTATTCATACCTTTGTATCACCCCCTTCTACGCTGAATAGGGCTAACCAGTATAACCAACAGGATATTGTAGAAATGACAGTGTGTAACTTCCAAGGCTAGTTTTTAAAAGACACTATAGTTTCCTCCTTGTTCTCCTGGATCACTTGCTCTGGGACAAGCCACTGCCACATCACGAGAAAACTCAAGAAGTCGTATGGAGAATCCATGTGGTGAGATACTGAGGACACCTACCAAAAGGCAGCATCAATTTGCCATCGATGTGAGTAAGCCTTCTTGGAAGCAGACCTCCCAGTTCCATGAAACCTTCAGATGACTGCAGCCCTCATGGGAGGCCTTCAGCAAGAACCACCCAGGAGAGTCACTCCCAGATTCCTGACCCGTAGACACATTGTAAAAATGATAAAATACTTACTCTTTAATGTTTTGGGGTAATTTGTTATGCAGCAGCAGATAACTAACAAAATAACAATTGAGAGTATGAACTCTGCAAGCCAACTAGAAATGCCACTTATGAACTTTATGGGACCTTGTGCAATCTGCTTAACTTCTTTCTGTGCCTTGGTTTCTCATCTGGATTAATACTTAACATGCTCAAAGAAATGTTATTCTTCTTCCCTTCCCTTACATAAACAGTTAATATAACATTTACCACAAAACAGCCATCAGCATGAAAAGTATATAAGGCAATGGCAGGAAACTATTGTGAAAGTATGATTTATAGTGATTAGTGTCTGCCAAACTTTTCCAAGAGCAGAGGAGAGTGAATATATATCCTTTTGGGGATTTAATAAATACTAAATGCCTACTGTATCTTAGGCACAGTTCTATATGCCAGGTATACAGCAGTGAATAAAACAAAATCCCTACCACTGGTGAGCAAATTTCATTCTAATTTTGCATTTTATCACATTATTACATCCATGTTGATTCAACTAAAAGAAGCTTTTTATCAAGTTTTCAATTTAAAAGATTAAATGTCTGGGAAGTATACTATGTTTATCTTGTAGTTTTCATGTACCTTCTAGGTTATTTATATCTAGCTTAATTTCAGAAGCATGGATATCCACATTTGTAGTAACAGTTGTTAGAGGCAGATCATTCCTTCATTCATGCAATTACTTATTCAAATATTTGAGGGCCTACTCCATGCCAGGCACACAGGAGTGAACAAAACCAGGTCTTTGCCCTCATGGAACTTACATTATAATTAGGGGACATAGATAATTAAAAAATAACTACACATCAGGTGGTGATGACAGCTAGGGCAAAAAATAAAGCAGGGCAAGGGGAAATGGAGTGGTTGCTATTTTATATAGGACAGTCAGAAAAGGTTTCACCAACAGGGTGAGGAAATAAAGGAGCAACCCAGGCAGATATTTGGGAAGAATATTCCAGACAAAAGAACACCAAATGCAAAGACTACAAGGTGTCACAGAGAATTAGACTACACGGATTGAATATAGCCACAGAAAGATATATTTCCTCTTATTTCTTTGAACCTAAAATTTATTTTAATGTATTTTATTTTTGAATTGGTGACTCAGATATTTGGTACAACATTTAAAGGTACAAAAGTATACACAGTGAAAAATAAGTGTTCATCTCTCCCGTCTCCTGTTCAAATACGCATGATCTTGTGGACCACCTCTGCTGTCAGTTTCTTGTATATGCTTTCAGAAATGATCCGTGAATAATTTAAAGCCTTCAAATGATCAAAAAGTCCATTCTAACATACACTGTCCAAAAAAAAAAAAAATCTCCTAACCAATTCCAAATTCCAGAAGAAAAAATATCAGGCAACCTTTTGGGATTTATTCTTGTCTGCTTCCTTCACTCCATATGTAGATTTTTACTTGAACATTTACAAAAATGCAAAATTACAAGCCATAATAATGAACACATAACTTTGTAATACCTCCTAAACAACAGATCTCAAACCATTTGATCTCAATCTGGGACACAACTACTTATGGATAGTTTGAATAATGCATAAATGAAAACATAGTGAAAAGAATACAACTGACCCTTGGAAAAATTTACCTGAAACTCAACCTCCAACACTGATTATAAATGGAGACAAAGTCAGGATGAACCAATGACCACTTGCTGTTCAGTTGCTCTTTATCTTTTATCTCTACTGGTGATCTAGGAGTCTCTGTTTCTCTAGCAAGTCTACCATAACTGGTCAACACTGGCTTTGTGAGAAGGGCCAGTTTTCAGAGGCAGACTGGTGTGGGGGAAAGAGGAGGATGTCACAGGGGAGAAGAAGTGAGCAAAAAACAGCAAGAGAAGGGCAGATACATTCCTCTTTCAAAGTTGTGTCTCAGTTGCACAACAGCTAGGGTCAAGATTATATACCTTCACTACTGTTTCTTTGAATGTCCTTAAGGGACACAGCAGTGAACAAAACAGGTCTTTGCCCCAAGGAGTCCTATGGAGAATCCATGAATTGATACTGGTGGGTTCTAGTCTGAGACCAAGAGAGAAAAGGTATATCTAATAAAGAAACTCACAGGAATAAAACTAAGACTTAAATTCTTTATTTTTTAATTTAATTTTTTTGAGACTTAAATACTTTAAGCTGAATCACAATGTGATCTCTTTTATGTGCATGTTTATAATAAGATAATATCATATAAAGAAAAAATAGCTGTAAAATAAAGAGGTTCATTTATTCATTCAACAAACATCTGCAGAGAACCTATTATGTCAAATCAGCATGCTGGGTGCTAGAGATACTGATGGGCAAAAGACTGGCATTGCCCTTGCCCAATGGCACTAATAATGTAGCAGAAAACTAGATAGAAGGAGAAAGACATCATTAAGAGAACTACAACTCATTTCACTTTCGTCACCTATTCTTTAAATACTCTTGTGAAAGTCCCCTTCATCTCTGAGGTTAAATAGCAACCTGCCAAAATAATGTCTATGTAAGTTTAGGAGAAATAAGGAATGATCCTTATTACTCCCCAGATTTTACAATTTTTGAGAAATTTTAAGAGTAGCTGCCATATAGATTTAAGACTGTAGGATAATTGTACTCTATTTAGCAGCAATAGAACTTAATTTCTATTTACCCATTTAATCCTCAAGTTCAGAAACATGACAGTGAAAAACAAAAGTTCAAAACTTAAGCTTTTACATACCTTGAGGGGGTCTTATTCCACCTGCAACAGGAAACATGAAGCTGAAAACAGAATAAAAATACATCATAATCTTCATTATGTACAAAGATTCCAAATAAAACATCTAACTTTTTCCATGGATGAAAGAATCGTAGATAGGGCCTGGTGTTGGTTCTGCAATATTGAATTGCCCAACATCAATACATACTGAACATCCATACGAGGAACAACAATCAACATGTAAGTGCAGAAGGAAAATTTTTCAAAGGGAAGCCAGAAGACCCTGAAACTAGTCCTGGTTCTGTCACTATGTGACCTCCTTGGATTTCAATTTCCCCATCCATAAAATGAACCATAAAATGAGAGGGCTGGATTAGATTCAATTCAGTGAACATTTATTGAGTGTCTACTATAGGAAAGGATTGAAATGACTCCCAATGTTGAAGACACAGATGGAGGCAAATAACTATATCACAGGATAAAAATGTCCTAACTGCTATAAGAAAGGTCCAAAATACTAATAGAGATGAGAATAAAAAGATTAATTTTAATGAATTATACCTTGATTAGTTTTGTGGAGGTAGCTTTTGAGCTGAATCTTAAAGGAAAATAGAGGCACACTATATAGTCTGAGCAAAAACTCTGAGGCCAGAGATGCAGGGATACTCAGAGAAATGAATTTAGGTAAAATATTAGGTACATGATTAAAAAGTAGATTGTAGAGGACATTCAAACTGTTTAATTTTATTTTGAATATATAAAATTGTCAGAAGTTTTTTTGTTGTATGGTAACATACAACATAATTTTACCATGTTAAATATTTTTAAGTGTATAATTCAGTGGCATAACTAAGGACATTCATGATACTGAGCAACCATCACCACTATCCACTTCCAGAAGTTATCCATCATCGCAATCAGAAACTCTGTACCCATTATACAGTAAGTCCCCATAATTCCTCTCCCCAGTCCTTCGCAAACACTATTCTACTTTCAGTCTGTATGCATTTGGCTATTCTAGGTACCCTGTACTAATATAAATGGAATCATACAATACTTGCCCTTTTGCAGCTGGCTTTTTTCACTTAGGCAAACATTTTCAAGGTTCATCCATATTGTAGCATGTATTAAGATTTCATTCCTTTTTATGGCTGGATAATACTCCATTGTATGTATACACCACATTTTGTTTACCCATTGATCTCTTAATGGACACTTAGGCTGTCTCTACCTTTTGGCTTTTGTTAATAGCACTGCTAAGAACATTGGTACACAAATATATTTGAGTCCCTCTTTTGACACTTTTAGGCATATATCTAGGAGAATTACTAGTAATTCCATGTTTACTTTTTTAGAAACTGACAAACTGTTTTCCACAACGTCTGTACCATTTTACATTCCCACTGACAATGCACAATGGTTCCAATTTCTCTACACCCTTGCCAACACTTGTTATTTTCTGGGTTTTTTGATAGCCTCCTAATGGGTATGAAGTGGTATCTTATTGTGGCTTTTATTTGCATTTCTCTAATGCCAGAGGTTTCTAAGTAGGAGAGTGATATGATCAGAAATGTGCTTTAGGTGGTTACTCTGGTAACAGAGAATGGCAGAGAAGACTGGAAGTAAAAAGGTAACCCATACCTATTTTTTAAAGCCATATATGTTTATTTATATGTGTTAAAAAGTCCAGGATCACCCCAGCTGTTCACAGTGATCATGGGGGAGGAAAGAGGAAATGAATAGGAGACAGTGATATTTTCCTTCTAACTTTATATACTTTTATTTTTTTTACTGTAAAGTATTACTTCCAAAATTTAAAAAATAGGTAAAAGTCGAAAAGAAAAAAGGGGAAGTGAGAGTATACAGGTGAGCTCGACCTAATTCACCCTGCATGTGCCTTGGCCCTGGCTTCCGAGGGCTTCTAATCCCAGGGAAGAGGATTAGGACTGCCCAGTACTTATGGTTTTTCTACAGGGCACTGTATATTTAGAAGGCTTCCAGCAGCAATGACTCCCATGAAGGCTGTGAGGATTAAATGAGGTAATGTATTCAAGGCACTAGGAAAGTGGCTGGCTGGTAGTAAGCCCTCAAATACTAGTAGCTTTTAGTTCTTACTGTTATTACTTAAATGGATCCTGCAGCCCAGTCCAGCAGAGCCCCCTGTACTTCCAGATTCTTCTCATTGGCACAGATTTTAAGCATTCAGGGCATGTCAGGGCTGTAACTGCACTTAATTGCCACCAAAACCACAAAAATCTTAACAACAGATGACAAAGGTCATAACTAAAGTATCATAGTAGGGATGGAAAAGTAGACGTGAATGAAAGATAGGCAAAAGAAATAATCAATAGGACTTGGCGGCCGGGCGCGGTGGCTCATGCCTGTAATCCTAGCACTCTGGGAGGCCAAGGCAGGCAGATTGCTCGAGGTCAGGAGTTAGAAACCAGCCTGAGCAAGAGCGAGACCCTGTCTCTACTAAAAATAGAAAGAAATTAATTGACCAACTAAAAATATATATACAAAAAATTAGCCAGGCATGGTGGCGCATGCCTGTAGTCCCAGCTACTGGGGAGGCTGAGGCAGTAGGATTGCTTGAGCCCAGGAGATCGAGGTTGCTGTGAGCTAGGCTGACACCACGGCACTCACTCTAGCCTGGGCAACAGAGTGAGACTCTGTCTCAAGAAAAAAAAAAAAAATAGGACTTGGCAACTGCCAGGATGGGGAACAGTAGTGAAAAAGCAGAAAGAGCTGAAGATGACACTGAGACACTGTGCCTGAGCAAATGCAAGGATGGTCATGCTGGTCACTGAAGGAAGACAGGAACCCAATGAGTAGCAGGGAGAAAAGCAGTAGGAATGTGTTCATGAGAAGCAATCTAGCACGCAATCAGAAAAGTAACTCAAACTCAGGAAAAAGATCTGGATAAATCTACTAGGTCCTTTTTAAATAAAAGTAAAAAAAAATTAATCTCTGTTTACAGATGAAATAGTCAAGGAACTGTGTACATCTAGTAAGAAGACCACTAAGAACAATCTTGGAGAACTGTTGCAGTGAAAACTGAGAAGGGAATGGGCACTGAGAACCAAGGGAGTGATTTATAACTCAGTTGTAACTGAGGAAGGACCAAATTTTGAGAAGCAGTTACCAGTGTCTAATGCTGTAGAAAAGCTGGTCAGAATGAGTATTAAGAAATAAATTATTGCTTTTGAAAATGGTGATCTTTGAGTAAGCAGTTTCAACAGAGGAAGAGACCTACAGGAAGAAAGAAAGATTTAGGAAACAAAAAATACACTCAGTGATTAATAAAACATGTTTTTGAGGAAATGAGATTAACACAGCAAGGTAGTAAAAGGTGTCTCCTTTGAAAAGGAAGTGGAACTCCCTTCTCTGAGGCTGGAAAGAAAAAGGGACAAATCAAGGAAGAAAACTTAGTGTGAAAAGACTCTTGTGGAGGAGTCAATGATCTGAACTGGAAGTTTCTAGATAGTCTTTAGAAAGTCTAGTGAAATCTAGGAATTGTATGCCAAATTTATGTGTTCTTGCATTTGAAACAGAATATGTTTGTTTCATGTTTCCTTGTTTCCCTGAAGGGCCTCCCCAAGTATGGAATTAAAGGAAAATCCTTAGTCCCTTAAGGGGGAAGTTCTGGGCGCCTAGCTAGCCCTGAAAAGTGAATGGAAATGACAACGGTTCTCCAAGCAAGACAGAGTCACAAGGCCTCTTGGTTCCCTATGGAAACTAAAAGGTGTTGTGTTAGTCCATTTTGCACTGATAAAAAGGAACACCTGAAACTGGGTAATTTATAAAAAGAACTGGCTGATTTGGCTCACAGTTCTGCAGACTAGATGTAACAGTGGAAGAGAGTCTTAACTACCAGTAGCTCCATTTTGCTTTGAGCCCCTGTGTAATACCATGTTTCCCTGAAAATAAGACCTATTCATAAAATAAGCCCTAGCAGGATTTCTAAGCATTTGCGCAATATAAGCCCTACTCCGAAAATAAGACCTAATGATGGGCATGGCTATTCAGTGCATCAGCACAACCCATGCAAGTCGTCACGGAGCGGTAAAGAAGACAAGCAGCCCTTCTCATCTGCCCCATCGTGACAGCCACTATCCCAAAGGTGACCGGAAAGGTGCGGGCAGCCCCACCACCAAGGTCGGCTCCCCCTGTCGGGTCCCGGCCATCCTGTGCGTGCTGCAAGCCAAGGCTTTGAGGGGAAAATAACACATTCCCTGAAAATAAGCCCTAGTGTGTCTTCTTGAGGAAAAATAAATATAAGACCCTGTCTTATTTTTGGGGAAACACAGTAGCCTTTGGGTTAAACGCTTCTGCTTAGCTCTGCATGTAGGCTAGAAGAAAGATGAGAACCATCCCTTTCCTAAAACTAACTCCCAGGGAGATAAGCAAAGTATACACAGAAGCAATGATACTATGTTAAAGATTTATAAATGGAACACACGTGTGACCTGACCTATGACCTCCAAAGTTAACTGACCAAGAGCGGTTTTACAACCTCCTCAGACCCTCACTGATACCTAGATGTCTGCAGTCCTCCATTACCTCTTGCAATGCTGCCCCCTGCCCAACTCCCAACATAAAAAGGAGCCTAAAGTTCAAACTAACTTAAGATGGTTCTTTGGGACATTAATCTGCCATCTTCTCAGTTTGCTGGCTCTCCAAATAATATTCGCTTTCCTTGCCCCAACACTTTGTTTCTCAAGTTTGTTCTGCAGTGAGTGGTACAAGCTTGGATTCAGTTATATATACAAGAAGCATGGTCCCAGAATCTGCTTCTGGTGAGGGCTTCAGGGAAGTAGAAGTAGAAGGTGAAGGCAGAGTAGGTGAGTCACATGGCAAAAGTAGGAGCAAGGGGGGGAGGTGTCACACTCCTTAAACAACCAGGTCTAGCATAAACTAATAGAGTGAGAACTCATTCATCACCACAGAGAGGGCACCAAGCCATTCATGAGGGATTCGCCCTCCCATGACCCAGGCCCCTCCCACCAGGGCCCACCTCCAGTACTGGGAATCAAATTTCAAAATGAGATTTGGAGGAGCCAAACATCCAAACCATATCAGATGGCTTCATAACTTGTGTTGAGTTGTTTTTCAGATGGAAAATGAGGATAACAGGGAACTGAGGAATTGAACTCTGATGGCCTAACAAGCTGTTTTTTTCCCTAAATCCCTCCCTTAAGGGCTAGGAATAGTCACACTCATCGTAATATTCCTCTCTGCTAATCCAAGAACCCCTGAGTCTACCAATGACCTGTAGGCCCCCACTTCAGGGCATCTTGCCTTTCCAGGTCAGGCCAATGTATCATATAGCTTCCATGTATTGATTTACAATTTTGCCTGCCTGAAATGTACCCCTGGCCTTTAAAAACCCTAGCTTGTATGCCATTGAGGAATTTGGGTCTTAAGCATTAGCTGCCTGTTCTCACTGCATGGCACCATACAACTGAAATGCCTCTTTCTCCTGCTGCAACTCTCGGCTTGAGTGTCTGGCTCAGCTGCCCCAAGTAAGCAGACCCTAGTTTGGTTCGATAACCTATTTTTTTCCATTACACCATCCCCACTCCCCAGGAAAAATGCTAAAAACCAAACTTTAGAGTCTAGCTCTAAAATGTTTTAATTTTCAAAGAATTTTGTAAGGTGGTTTAGAGAGTTCTAGTTGAACATCTGTTTGGTTGTGTGTATATATTACAGTCTTTAGAGGTTCTGGATCAGAGGCAAATTCTGCTGCTGACAAGCAGGCCTGCACTCAAAGACAGGCCTGAAGAGTGAACAGCTGTTCTGAACTGCACACAAGATGTAGTAGCTAAGTAATGTGTTAACTGGACAAAAGGTTTACATTACAAGTTGAAATCTGGTAGTACCTTGGAGATATTGTGGGTCTGGTTCCAGATCACCACAATAAAGTGAATATTACAGTAAAATGAGTCACATGAATGTTTTGGTTTCCTAGTGCACATAAATGTTTACACTACCTTGTAGTCTATTAGGCATGCAACAGCATTATGTTTTAAAAAAGGTACATGCCTTAATTAAAAAATACTTTGTTGTTAACAAATGCTAATCATCACCTGAGCCTTCAGCATGTAGCATCCGTTTGCTAGTGGAGGGTCTTTTGCCTCCATGTTTATGGTTGCTGACTGATCAGGGTGGTAGTTGTGGCAATTTGTTAAAATAAGGCATCAATAAAGTTTGTCATGTAGATTGACTCTTTCACAAAAAGATTTCTCTGTAGCATGCAATGCAGTTTGATAACATCTTACGCATAGTAGAACTTCTTTCAAAACTAGAGTTAATCCTCTCAAATCCTGCCACTGCTTTACCAACTAAGTTTATGGAATATTCTAAATCCTTTGTTGTCATTTCAACAATGTTCACAGCATCTTCACCAGGAGGAGATTCCATCTCAAGAAACCACTTCCTTTGCTCATCCATAAGAAACAATTCCTCATCTGTTCAAGTTTTATCTTGAGATTGTAGCAATTCAGTCACATCTTCAAGCTCTACTGCTTAGTTCTCTTGCCATTTCCACCACATCTGCAATTACTTACTTCACTGAAGTCTTGAACCCTTCAAAGTCATCCATGAAGACTAGAAGCAACCTCTTCCAAACTCTCATTAATGTTAATATTTTGATATTATCCCATGAATCATGAATGTTCTTAATGGCATCTAGAATGGTGAATCCTTTCCAGAAGGTTTTCCCCATCTGGGGAATCACTATCCTATGGCAGCTAAAGCTTTATGAAATGTATTTCTTAAATAATAGAGTTCAAAGTGGAAATTACTGCTTGATCCATGGACTAAAGAATGGATATTGTGTTAGCAGGCATGAAAACAACATAACCTCTTTAAACATCTCCATCAGAGCTCTTGGCTGACAAAGTGCATTGTCAATGATCAGTAATATTTTGAAAGGAATCTTTTTTCCTGGGGTCTCAACAATTGATTTAAAATATTTAGTAAATCATGCTGTCAACAGATGTCCTATTATCCAGGCTTTGTTTTTCCATTTATAGAGCACAGACAGAGCAGACTTAGCATAATTCTTAAGGGTCCAAGGATTTTAGGAATGCTAAGTGACCGCAGGCTTCAACTTAAAGTCACCAGCTGCATTAGTCTCCCTAACAAGAGAGTCAGCCTGTCCTTTGAAGCTTTAAAGTCAAGCATTGAGTTCTCTCTAGCTGTGAAAGTCCTAGATGGCATCTTCTTGCAACAGAAGGCTATTTTTGTTTACATTGAAAATCTATTTTGTGAAGCCACCTTCATCAGTTATCTTAGCTAGATCTTATGGATAACTTGCTATAGCCTCTCCACCAGCACTTCCTGTTTCACCTTATACTTTTGTATCATAGAGACTGGTTCTTTCCTTAAACTTCATAAACCAACTTCTGCTAGCTTCCACCTTTTCTTCTACAGCTTCCTCACCACTCTCTTAGCCTTCAAAGAATTGAAGAATTATGATCTTGCTCTTAATTAGGCTTTGGCTTAAGGGAATGCTTGGCTTAGTTTGATCTTCTATTCAGATCATTAAAACTTTCTCCCTATCAGTAAAAAGACTGTTTCACTTTCTTATCATTCTTGTGTTCACTAGAATAGCACTTTTAATTTCCTTCAAGAACTTTTCCTTTGCATTCACAACTTGGCTGTTTGGTGCAAGAGGCCTAGCTTTTGGCCACTCTCAGTTTTCAACATGATTAATGACTAAGTTTAATGATTTCAGCTTTTGATTTGAAGTGAGAGATGTGTAATTCTTCCTTTCACTATAGCACTCAGAGGCCATTGTAGGGCTATTAATTGGCCTTATTTCAATATTGTTTTGTGACAGAATAGGGAGGCCCAACGAGAGGGAGACAGATGGGGGAACAGCCAGTGGCAGAATGGTCAGAACACATAAAATACTTATCAATTAAGTTTGTGGTCTTACATGGGTGGGGTTCCTGGTACCCAAAATTAATTACAACATCAAAGATCACTAGTCAAAGATTATCATAACAGATAATAATGAAAAAGTTTGAAATATTGCAAGAACTACTCAAATGAGACAGAGACATGAAATAAGCACATGCTGCTGGAAAAATGGCACTGTGCTCAGTGCAAGATTGCCACAAATCATCAATTTATTAAAAAAGCAATGTTTGTGAAGCATGATAAAATGAGGTATGACTGTACTCAGTTTTTAAAAACATTATTT